TCTTAAAACTGTGATGATTCTTAAATGTTATGTTGAAATGTAATTATTTTGTCTATATTTATATATTTATTTATGTACATGTACCGTATATCACCTTTAAATGTCCGAAGTCAAATTGTATGTATTTTTTACATGACAATAAATTATCTTGAATCTCTTGAATCTCTTGAATCTTGAATCTTGAATCTTGAATCACATTATTTAGACTAACAGGAGAGTGTTTCACAAAGACTAAGATCGAATTTAAGTTGGACTAAACTATGGCAGGCTGTTCATGCCACTGTTCGCTCTCACTATTTACTGGCATTGGCCTCTCAAGGGACGTACAAATCATGGTCTGAAATCCACAGAATTTCTATTTTTTGATAATTCATTATTAAAGGACAACAAATCATCTAAAAATCATAACGATGAGAGCAACCAGCGGCATGAATGGCCTGCGATAGTTAATTCCAACTTAAAGTCGATCTTAATCTTTGTGAAACACCTCCTAGTTATGTAAAAATTTTATATAGAGATGTGGTCGGTAACATAGTTTACGTAGGTCACACAATTATAGTCGGACTTGTGATAACTTAATAATGAGGATGACGAGTTTGATGACAAGTATGATGATGATAATAATAACAATATTACTTATAAAAATAATGATAATCATAATAACGGAAATGAAGATAAAAATATTAGTAATACAGTCAAACCTGTCGACAGCGACCGCCCAAGGGAAACACAAAAAGTGGTCTTCGTAGACAGGTGGTCTTTGTAGACAGGTTCCTTTAGTACATGTCTCAATGAGAAACCATTTTCAAAGGAAACAAAAAATGTGGTCCTTGTAGACAGGTGGTCTTTGTAGACAGGCGGTCACTAAAGCAGGTTTGACTGTAGTAGTAATAGTTTTTCGAACAATTTCGATTTATTTTTAGTCTATTTAATATTAAAAACGTTAATTCAGTTTACCGCAAAACACAATTTACGACGGAGACTATAATTGTGCCATTCAATTTAGCCCGGGTACTAACACAAATCAGATAGGCTCACAGCCTCACACATCCCTGTCTACCCTCTTGATCACAGTCTTCATCCATATTAATATACAGGCTAACGTATTACCTTTCTCAAGATATCTTCTCCCAGCACGGAGGTTGATTGCAATGCATTTCCAAACATTTTCTGTCATTCTACAACATTTTTAGTTACAATGAGGCATGCGCTCCCCGACTCTGGAATGAGCTTCCACGTTTTATTCGTTTATCACGATCGCTAGATGTCTTCCGAGAATTTGACCATGATCAACAACTTCTTAACAACAAATGATATAAAGCGGTGTGAAGCAACAGTTAGTTTGTAAGAGCGCTTTAGAAATGACTTTATTGTATTGTGTTCCACTCCATGGCTTAATGTTCACCTTCGAAATGGTTCGTGGTTTTCCCTCTTGGTCTGGTACCAGATCAAGTTGTTATCTTGTTTATCTAAAACGCGACCCGAGTTTGAGGGAGAATCTTGTTTAATTGTAACGTTATCATTAAATAAAGATACAAGTCTTATTACAGTTTTCAGACCAAAATGAAGAGCACAATACCGACATTTTAACAGACAAACAAATTTGTAAAAAATAAGACAAAAATAGAGGAAAAAAAAAACAAAAAAACAAACGAACTTCTTCATTTAATCTAGTAACAAGTGCCGAGTACTCTTTTTTTAAAGGGGGGGGGGGGGTGGTCATTCATTTAATATTAAATCTTTAAATAATTCTACTACCAACATTATTTTGCTGATTTCCGTCCTATAGAACAAATGGAAATGGAAATTTAGGGGGAGCGTGTTTTTAGTATCGAAAGAGGAGAGAGGAGGAGGAGGAGAGAGAGGGGGAGGGAGAAAGAGGAGTAGGATGAAGGAGAGAGAGAGAGAGGGAGCGAGAGAAGAGAAAGTGAGGATGACGAGAAATGAAGACGATACGAGTTCAATTCATTATTTGAATTCGTTAATTCGCATTTTATTTACCGAGAAAAGGCCCGCCTCCCCCCTTCTCTTTCTACAAGCCTTAGCATGAGACCCACCATATGTACTAACAGTAGCCTACATTAGGGACTTTTAGATTTGCACGTCTACAGCTTTGACTGCAACGTGTGACGTCATTTTAAGGCACTGCGCTTGCGTTACGTCGTCTCAGTCGGCGATTGAGAATGCGTCAACCTTGATTTTCCGAAATCTAGTACATACATACATACATATTGGTATTTATATAGCGCATTTACATGCTCAAGGTACTAGTATGCCGCGTGCGCATACAATATACAGTTCCTCAGGTAGACAAAGGAACATCCCTTCCCTGCTATTATGTAAAAATGTGTAGAACAGGTGTCACATGCATATGCACCTGTTCTACACATTTTTACATAATAGCAGTGAAGGGATGTTCTTTTGTTGAGGGTAGAATGAGGAACTGTATATTTTGTCCTCTTTCTTTGTCCGTGATGATCATAGTGTTACTTCCTGCATGCATGTATATCGTCGAGTGCAATCTAAAATATTTCTAATTGTAGTCAACATGGGCAGTTAAGTACGTTGACACGCATGATTAGTCGGCGTTCGTCGTGTTCTCGTCCAGTCATTCTAAAAGTCCCTATTACGCGCACTAGGGACAGCGCATTGTTGCGTCACATAAGAAAACCTACGTAGGCACAACTGCGCGCTATGTAGCGTAGCTTTCGGTACTATGGAAATATAAACACACACAAACTGAGTACGTATAATGCACGTAGTTCTCATACACATCATTATAGTCAACTTAAATATCGTACCAACCATGTCTCATTACAGCTCTTGGATTATATATATACAAATGGATTATGTGAAATTGATTTTATTTTATTCATGATTATATTGGAGGAATTCACATAAGGTAGGAAAACGCAACAAAGTTACGTACATTTTTGTTTATTATTCGATATTTGTTTTTCACGTTCATAATTAGTAAGGCCGTAGATCTAGATTAAAGAGGGAAATGTTGCTGTGTGACGGGGGGATGTTATTAAAAAAGTTACTGGGAAGTCGAATTAAACAAATGAAATAATCACAAACGATCACAACAGGGTTATGAACGCAAAGAAAATACATTCGCACACAATTTGATGTTAGAAACATCGACTTTCAGATTGTTTTCATGCTTGCATGTATTTGCTTACTCATGTGTTTGTTATTTTGCTTTGATAAATGGGGCTTACAGCATTCTAGTATTTGATTTGTATTTTGTTTTTTGTCTGTTTGTTACTCGTTATAAGTATGTTTTCTACTTATTGTATGCTTGAATGTCTTCAGTTTCGTTCATTATACCATCGAACAAAGCAGTCATGATTCATTGTATATACATATATATATATATATATATATATATATATAAATATTAGTTTTCCTTTCTTTTTAGGGGTAAACAAATACGCGTTTTTATAAATGTTTTGCAACATGTAGATCTCATAAGGTATTAAAATAGAATCCAAGTTCCTTTTTCCGGATTTTTTTTTGAAAATGAGGATGAGGGGATCCGTGTTTCTTAACACGTAAGCCTATATTTGTTAATTGTTTGATTAATATTTTCTTCTCAATGTGAGTCTGACATATATCTTGTAGTTCATAAACAGTATTCAAAATATCACAAAAAGTTCAAGTAAACAAAATGAAAATATCACAATAGAATATAGTAGCTGCGTTATTTTCATCGATCTTATTAGTAATATTATTAACTTTATGAAGCTCTTTATTTGCTCCAAGACGAAGAACGCACGTATATTTCTCCGATTTTTGTTGTTGTATCTGCTTATTCCGACCAAGCAATTTAGAACTATCAAAATTAAGACAGTTCAGAACGCATAATTTTGGTTTAAAATGACGGCCTACTTTCATGAAACTCGTTTTCTGGTCGAAGAAGAAGACACATTATGTTTTTTGTTTTTTTAATCTGCTTCCATTGCGACAAAGCAAGTTATAACTAGTGTTGTTTTGTATGATTTCATTATAAATAATATAGCAATTAAAAGACTGTTCAATTGATTCTTGTAGTGGTGGTTATTTTACCTGACTGCTAGGAAAGCATAAATGCTTGTTAGTAAGCAACCATAGGACCTCACCGAGAGACCTGGTAATGAGGATTAATGCCTTACCGAAGGGCACTAGCGCCTTGGTTTCGAACCCGGGTCGCCGAATTACGAGAACACTGCTCTACCAACTGATCTATCGCGCCTTCTAGAATTCACATGATTTAAAATGGTGGCCTACCTTCGTGAAACTTGTCAGCTGCTCGAAGACGAAAAAGACGTAGATGGCCATCTCGACAACGAGACACTTCCAGATATACGCCATCTCCGGGCTCGTAGGCGTATGAGCGCTGTGACCGCTGCTGTCGTGGGTGTGGAGACCCACAGCCTGCACGAGATTGAGAAAGAAACGTTTATAAGTATGAATAAGTACATGATTCATTGACCATATCAGGAAATTCGATTTCCACTGGTTGGTAGAAGTAATACAATATAATACAGATAATGAGACAAATTACGTACAGTTAACATCTAACTTATTCATACCCCTGTATATTTGATTTGATTTTTTTTAGAAAAGGGCTCCAAAAAACCAAAACAATGGTGAATAAGGGATTAACTGCCCATTGCTTACCTGTGGTAAAAGATGTAAGACAGCATCACCAGTCAGCATGAAAAAGGCACAAGTAAAACACAAGAAAGAGTGGTGAAATCTCTTTAAGGGATTAACTGCCCATTGCTTACCTGTGGTAAAAGATGTAAGACAGCATCACCAGTCAGCATTCAAAAGGCACAAGTAAAACACTAGAAAGAGTAGTGAAATCCCTTTAAGGGATTAACTGCCCATTGCTTACCTGTTGTAAAAGATGTAAGACAGCATCACCATTCAGCACTCAAAAGGCACAAGTAAAACACAAGAAAGAGTGGTGAAATCCCTTTAAGTAATAAACTGCCCATTGCTTACCTGTG